TTCCTCTGGTGACATGTCTCTCGAGGCCCAGGCCGCTTTGACCTCTTCACTGAACCTGTTGGTTAAAGTTGGATCACCGTCCCCGTAAAATTTGTTAATGTGGGACTCTCTGGGCAGGACCACAATATGGGTCTGCTTCTCGTCCAGAGTAGACATTCTAATTTTACTTTGAGTAGAAAAAAAAAAGACCTTTCCTACCGTGTATGTGTGAATAATTTTCCTCGTTCCTCAATTTTCACTGTTCCTGAATGTCCGAATTCACACACACGAAACACAGTTATGAACTAGGTTGACTATGGGTGCCTAAAGCGGCTGGTCTAATTGAATCATCCTGCCAGCAGCGCCAAATGTAACCGAGTCTAGTTGCATCTTCTGCTCGACAACGCCAAATGTAACCAGTCTATTTGCTTGTAGTGCCAAATGTTAACGAGTGTATTTACTCAGTCTACACAACATCGACCACAATATAGATACTCGAAGATGCAGGTTTACCATTGATCCTTTTATTACATGAATCAAAAAGAAATGCTTCACAATAATATAATGAATCAACTGACCCCCGACCGTCCTCACTAGTCTTCACATAACCGAATGCACATGTCTATCGTCCCTATTAACACAATACGTCTACAACGTTCAGTAACCAACTTGATACTGCCACACTTCTACTCCTTGACTGACTGACTGACTGACTGACTCGTTCTCAGCCGTCGCCTTCCTATATCTCCCTTCGTATTCGTAATCGGATTCGTAATCGGATTCGTACTCGTATTCGTACTCGTATTCTAATCGTTGCATCAGAATGTTAATTACGCCGCTTCTGTCATACAGTCCGATTAATAAGCCATCTGCACTGTTACGTCAGCCTGTGAACTGCGCAGCGGCTTTGTGATCGTTATCAGCCTAACACCTGCACTATTGCGTTGTTATCGTCTCTGGTAACTACACCTAGTTACATCTATATATATATATATATATATATATATATATATATATATATATATATATATATATATATATATATATATATATATATATATATATATATATATATATATATATATATATATATATATATATATATATATTTCATACATGTTTTTTCTCAAACATAATGTGCATAAATATATATTATGATCTTTACATGTTGGTAGATGACGATGCATCTGATATAAACCTTGTTCTATATCGACTCCAAGGTCGTATGCATAATGAAATACAAAGAAGGCCTTTATTGGCTCCCAACAGTGTTTCTACTGCTTTTTTTTTTCTCTCGGGCCGAGGGAGAGGGGGGTCACTTAATATTTTCTGAGGGGGGGGGGGCGAAAGAGATGCCTGGAAGAAACTCTGGCTCCCACCCTACACGATGTAATGTTATATACCATTCTAGAAGTCAGCAGCCCTCAAAGTGTATAACAGTCAGAGTTTCTTCCAGGCATCTCTTCGGCTAAGCCTCCCCCCCCCCCCCCGAAGAAAGTCTACCGTCCCTTCCGAACGAAATGAATTTTTTTAGAAAATATATACTTTTAACAGTGTCCCCCCCCCCCCCCCCCCCCGAAAAAAGTCTACCCCCCCTCCCCAAAAAGTTTCAATTGCTCCCCCTGTAACGTTAACCTATCTATCAGCCAAATAGAAGGAGAACGTCCCCGGATTCTTTTTTCGGGGTCATATGCAAATACCTTACGGCCTAAGTGGATGAACACTTAACACAACGACCACTAGGGCTCGAATTCAATGTCTAGGGAAGCTAGTGGTACTATTGTAATTAACACTCATCCAATCTACATACGACCTTTTAATCAGCGAACACAGTTGTGGCAGAACACAAAGATGAACTAGATAAAATATTTAATGTATAAAATATCAAAAACCCAACTTACACAATGTAGGAAAAAACACTATCACAGATTTCTACACTGTCTAAAAAACAGCCACAGGCCACACAACACTGCTGTAGTTTCTAGAATTACTAAGCGACAAGTAATATTAAACTAGAAGACTAAATCAACTTAAGAAAGCGTAGCACACACAAGTCTGGAAGAAACACTGATAACAGTTCTGCGGTATGTGTTATACCAGTGTCACATAATGCTTCAGTAATGAAATCTGCTTTAAACGGGGGTATGGACTTTCTGATGTCAAAGCTACCCCTTGCTTTAACCCAAACCCTAATCCAGTTCGTACCACAGCCCTCACCCTAAATTCTGACCCTATCACTAAACCTGAATTTACAACACTACTGACAGCGTAACACATCTGTTTTCGTAAGTCTATTATCGGAAATCAGTATACACATCCCTATACTGTTTTACAAAACAAGTAATGTTGTCTTCATTGAAGAAAAGCTAAGTTTTATATGTATAAAGTATATTTATTTGTTATTAAAAAATACCTCTCCGAAATTATAAAGTTACAAAAGTAGTGAAAACTAATAGCCAACCTAATTTATCAAAAGAACAAACATAATAATTTAAATTAATTTAAACGTTTTGTGATGTACAAATATAAAATATCTTAATTCATTTACTTGCTGTAAATGTAATTTTTAAATGGATTTTAAACATTACAGAAATAAAATTAAACACTATTTTATAATGGAAATCTAGGAAAAAATTATATATATATATATATATATATATATATATATATATATATATATATATATATATATATATATATATCTAATATATAAAGCTCAGTTCTGTATGTAATGCATGTTTGTCGTTGGAATTGTATGAATTTAAGTGTTAGAAAATTATCGTGCGCATTTGTCTAAATTTATGAGCTAAAAAATTACTATTGAAAGTGTTGGGAAATCATTTTCATTTTTCAAATTATAGTAATAATTGTCGGCATGTTCATTAAACACAAGTTTTAAAAAAAATATCATCTTTTACACAAATTCTAATTATGTCTTTATTTAGTCCTATAGCACTTACTTCCCTTTGATAAATTAGGAAAACACAATTACTTCCCTTTATAAAACCATTGCATTTTGTGGAAAAGTATTTACTTTTTAATTACTTTGTTTTGGTGTTGGGAAAAAAAATAATTACATAATTAGCGGGGATTGATCAAGTGCTAATGTTGTAGGTATTTTACGGATAAGCTTGGAGTATTATAATTGTTCATCAAATTGAAACAGGCGCGTTCGTTTAAGTGAGTGCAAAAGACTATGAATAAGTTGGGGTACTATCGTCGTTCATTAAGCTAAAACAGGTGATTCCGCCCCGGGCGTTTATGTTCGCGTTAGTGTTTTCTTTGTGTTTAGGTGGGTTTGCGTTAGTGGTTGCGTTTTGATTTGGTTCGTTTTTGTTCTTTCTTTTTTCGTTTTTGTTTGTGTTTTTTTTCTTTGGGTTTGTATTTGTGTTTTTGGTTGGTTTTGCGTTTGGATTTGGTTTGTTTTCGTTTGCTTTTTCGTTGTTTTTTTTTTTTTGTTGGTATTGGTGTTTGTGGTTGGGTTTGTTGTTAGGTTTTTGTTTTCGTTTGCTTTTTTGTTTGTTTTTTCTTTGTGTTTGTATTGGTGTTTGTGGTTGTGGTTGGGTTTGTTGTTAGGTTTTTGTTTTCGTTTGTATTTGTAATTGTGGTAGCGTTATGTTTGCGTTTTGTTGTTTTGGTTGGTTGTGGTTTGGGTGGGCAATGCCGGGTTTATGATGATTACTAAACACACAGGTAATGGTCTTTAACAGAAAGGTTTTTCACAGAAGCCAGAGCAGGGCCTGGCCGGGACGGCTAGTATATATATATATATATATATATATATATATATATATATATATATATAATACAAGACAATTTACACACAAGCAAACACTCATCTTCGATATACCCATACACACATATTATGTATATATATATATATATAACCATTCTATTCAATGTATCAATATAATACAAATATTCACATTTGGTTTGAAAAGTACCTGCTGGCTAGTATGAAACTAGAAGTTTGTGAACTACTTAAAAGCCCTATTGCTGCCATCTATTAAATGTTAATGCACCGTACAAAAACATTTTTTAACATAATACTTTTCGTGTGTTTTATCTAAATTAACGGTGATTGTGACAATCCACAATATAACATTAAAGATCACCCATCGGAGAGAAAGGGATGGATAGACCCTGCTTTCAAAAAGGTGGGTGTGTATAAAATATTTCCAACGGGCCGACCCGCGGCGTATGATACGCCGCTATTTAGTTGTTGTTTTTTCTACTTTTCAGTAATTCATAATTTGTGAATTCGACAGTACTAATGCTGCCACTGAAAATATATTTGCTCTCAAACACTAAAACCCTCCTTTTCCCCAACCCCCCCCCCCCCCTCGTGAAAGCAGCCTCATCTTAGTTACCTAAGTTTAAAATCGTTTCAAATTAAATTATCTGCCCCTAATAGCCGTCACTAAACCAGTCTCTACGTTTGTAAACAGCGTGAACCACAGCTCACCAGACCATGTGGGTATGGGGGGGGGGGGGGGTAATAGAGATATGCCTAGAGAGGAAGAGAGGGGACTGCTAGGCGCGCTAACAGCTTGTTTTCTAGTGTCTCGCAGAAGAGAATTATATATATATAGATTATGGAAAGCGGTTAATATATGTTATCTCCCTTGATTAAATACTCTATTTAAATATTTATATTAAAAGAAAAATTATTTCAATAAATAGAAGTGTAAGGAGGGTGTAAGTGAAATTTAGGACAATATGGCTAGTTAATGTATACTCTCGAGGTACTGACAATCAACTACGTTCTATAAGTCCATCTTTGGATCAATATCAATTTAAAATTTTGGTATTTCGTCTTTAAAGATTAAAGCTTGAAATGTTTTTGTAAATAATATAAAGTTCGCAAAGACGATAAGTTTAAAGATTACAAAACTTAAAAACATTACATTAAATACATATATTTGCATACCCCCTGTGATTAAAACATCGTCTGTTCTAGTAAGAGAAAAAACGTCAAGGCTTTACTTAAGTAGCAAAGTCAAAACGCAAATGTTGATCATTTAATCACATTTGTCTAGAGCTCCAGGGTTGTAGCAAAACATCTTTTGGTCATCATGGACAACATGGACATCTCCGTCCTCGTCGACTTGTCTGACTCGCGCTATCCGTCTGGTGTACTGTTAGAAATGTAGATAAAAGGGAATATGTGATACGAATAATAATTTTTGTCAATATGTTCAAGAACATACGATTTAAACTGAAACGGCACACACACACACACACACACACACACATATATATATATATATATATATATATATATATATATATATATATATATATATATATATATATATATATATATATATATATTTATTTATTTATTTATTTATTTATATACACGTTTTAATTAAACCACGTTAATTAACTACATATCGATTGCTATCCTGTCAACAGAGGCGTAGCGAAGAGGGTGGGGTGGGCAGGGGGGTACATATGTCCCTGGGCGCCGACCTTAGGGGGCGCCAAACTGGGTTGGAAAAACAAAATAAAATATCATTTTAGCTGCATTTTTGCTTCATAAATAAAAAAAATATAGGTGTGTGCTAATCGAAAGTTTGGGGGGGGGGGGGGGGCGGGGTGCAAATCAAAGATTGAAAGGATGATCCCGAGGAGGGCGCCAAATTGAAAGTTTGTCCCGGGGCGCAGGGAAGGGTTGCTACGCCTCTACCTGTCAATTACCCCCCCCCCCCCCCCCATTCCTCACCTCGACCATTTAGATATAGATAGGGACTGGTAAATGATAAGCTCAATTAAACATATACAAACATATTATGTATATGTATATATATATATATATATATATATATGTAACTGGGGTAGGCCTAACTACCAGTTACAAATGATAACGAACGAGAAGCCGAGACACAGTGTTGGTCTGATGCAACCGATAACAGGTGGCTTATTGGGTCGGGCTGATAACAACCTCAAAGCCGGCGCGTGCTATTTTGGGAAACGGTATTCAGACGGCCTGTCAACTTTGATGGATAGGACGCAGATGTTATTTTACGGTCTGTACGTTTGAACTACGCAACTGGTGGTCGGAGATCGAGTACAAGTATCGATTACGGAGGAATACAAGTACAGAGACGAGTACGGATACAAGGCATAAATAGGAGGGCACGGCAGGACTCGTTCTCTCTCTTCCCGTTTCAGCGAGCTCTCTTCGATCTTCATCGCTCGCTTAGATCAGTCAGTCTGTGTGACTATGTCAAGTCGGTTATAGAACGGGTTAGCCGTATTGTGTTAAGAAGGATTATAGACATGTGGATTCAGTTATATAAAGCCTAGTGAAGGACTGTTAGGGGTCAGTTGATTCAGACTATTATTGAGAAGCATTCCTGTTGATTTATTGTGTTATTATGAAGCATTTCTTGATTCATGTAATAAAGGATCAATAGCGAACCTGCATCTTGAGTATCTATACTGTGGTCAATGTTGTCTAGAATGAGTGGTTAAACTCGTTAACACGTGGCACTACAGGCAATTAGGTCTCATTACATGTGGCGTTGCGAGCATGGTAACTGTTGGCTCGTTACAATTGGCGTTGTCGGCAGGATAAATGTTCGCTCGTCACAATTGGCGCTGCGAGCAGGGTGAATTCAACTAGACTTGCCGTTTAAGGCACCTATAGTCAACCTTGTGCATAACTGTGTTTAGTGTGTGTGTGAATTCGGACATTCAGGAACTGTGAAAATTGAGGAACGAGGAAAAATTTTTCATACACACACGGTAAGAAAGAACTCTTTTTTTTTAGTACTTAAGGAAGAAAATGTCTACTCTGGACGAGAAGCAGACCCATATAGTGGTCCTACCCAGAGAGTCCCATATTAACAAATTTTACGGGGACGGAGACCCAACTTTAACCAACAGGTTCAGTGAAGAGGTCAAAGCGGCCTGGGCCTCGAGACATATGTCACCAGAGGAAAGATTAAGACTGCTGATGGGCAGTATAGGTGAAACGGTTAGGGCAGAGGTTAAGTGCCACGATAGGACCGTCCAATCAGATCCAGATAAGGTGCTGGATCTGATTATGGAGACCTTTGGGGAGAGACGGTCGGGAGTGCAACTGCTATCGGGATTCGTGGGCTTAAAGCAGAGAATGGCGGAGAGTGTGATGGAGTACTCACACAGGATGAACAGGGCCTTTGATTTGGTAAAGGGCAAATCACCGGACATTGATGTACGCCTACTGAGGGACCATTTCATCGAGGGGCTAGCAACCCCGATCTTAAGGAGAGAGTTGAAAGAGGAGGTCCACAGAGACCAGCAGTTGACCTTCCTTCAGGTCAGGAACTCAGCGATCCGCAGGTCCGAGGATGAGGACCAATCGAACTGTTCGGTGGACAAAGTCTCTGTGCCTGAACAGAGACAATCCCCACCCACAGGGGCCGACACGATGGAGACCATGATGGCTCAACTGTTGGCCCACCTAGAGAAGGTTGACCAACGCTTGAAGTGGTTGGAAAGCAGGTCAACAGCTGAGAATCAGGAAAAGAACGGGACAAAACAGGGACGGGTTGGACGGCCGCGTCCTGCCAAGCCATCACTCCAATGGACGGCAGACGGTAGACCAATTTGTTTGTCTTGTTCACAACCCGGACATATGGCACGGTACTGCCAGGGAAACGGTCGTCCTCTGTAAGGCAGGGCCAGGCTACAGAGGGGCGAGGTTATGGCCCAAGAAGCAAAATGATGGGAGTCTGTCCCGAAATGGTGATTACGATTGGGGACATCGCGGTGAAGGCAATTGTGGATACAGGCTCCCAGGTGACGACAATCACGGAAAATTTTTACACCAAATGGATGAAAGGAAAAGACCATAGGTTGAGGTCTGACACAGGCATGCGCCTGACGGCAGCTAATGGACTAACCATTCCATACTGTGGTTATTTTCTGGCGGATGTCGTGGTGGCAGGACATAGGTTGAAGCAGGTTGGGGTGTTCGTTACGAAACACAACCTAGAGACAAATGTGTCAAATATACCTTGCCTGTTGGGCATGAATATTCTTGGCCAGTTGCCAGAATTTCTTACAAATATTGTCGGATCGACCACACCAGGTCGGGGATCCAAGTTGGCCAGGTTTGCCAAGACCAGAGGAAGGACAGCAGTCCCGGCAAACACGGTCAAGGCAATCACATTACAAATTGGTGATAGAAGCGTGAATGGTGATGTGATGATAGAACCATGTGGCGCCGCACTGAGGGCAGGCGTCGTGTTACTGCGGACATACACATCAGCGGAAAACGGACTAGTTCAAGGGTTGGTAGCAAATGTTTTGGATGAAGAAATTTTTATACCGCCTAACACTCTGGTAGGAGTACCACAGAACGTCGAGGTACAAAGGTCGGCACAGTGCATCGAACTGATCAATACCAGTAGTAATGAAGTAACAATTAGGTCGGTCAATGTGACGGCCGAGGTGAAGAAAGAAGATGGCCGATCATATACATTCCCGGAAACTGAGGACCCAAAACTAAATGAATTGCTGAATAAATACAGTGATATATTTGCCTCGTATGAGGGTGATTTGGGGTACACGGAAGTAATAAAACACCAGATACCCTTACTACAAGACAAGCCGGTGGCGCAACCTTATCGAAGATTGCCACCAAGTCACTACTCTGCGGTGAAAGCACACCTGAACGATCTACTAAAAAAGGGAATTATTACAACCAGTACGAGCCCATATGCGGCACCGATTGTAGTGGTAAAAAAGAAGTCAGGGGAGATAAGACTGTGTTGTGATTACCGGAAATTGAACAATATCACAAGAAGGGATGCATTCCCCTTGCCTCGTATTGATGAATGTCTTGATGCGTTGGGGGGAGCAAGATTTTTTTCTACCTTGGATTTGGCCAGTGGCTACCACCAAGTGGCCATGCACCCCAACGATCAACATAAAACTGCATTTATTTCTCCACTGGGACTGTACGAGTGGACCCGTATGCCGTTTGGTCTAACTAATGCACCTGCTACATTCCAGCGAGTAATGCAGAGTGCTATGAGTGACTTTCTATTTCAAATAATGTTGGTGTATTTGGATGATATTCTAGTTTACTCAAAAACTTGGGAGGACCATCTAAAAAGATTAGAACAAGTGTTTCTCCGTCTTAGGGAGATAGGAGTAAAGCTGAACCCAGACAAATGCTGCTTTGGTTTGAAATCGGTACATTTTTTGGGTTACGTGATTTCGTCGGATGGCATCGCCACTGACCCAGATAAAATTGCAGCTGTTAAAGAATGGAAACAACCAACAACTACGGTAGAGGTCAGGTCATTCTTGGGCTTTGCTTCCTATTATAGAAAATTTGTGCCGGGTTTTGCAAAAATTGCCGCACCATTGCATGACTTGGTAAACAAAATGACAAAGAAACACAGTAAGGAGAAAAAGAAAGGTAAAACACAACTGATAGGTGAATTATGGACTGATGAATGCCTGAACTCGTTTAAGCTATTGAAAAAGGCTTTGACAGAGGCACCGATATTGGGATACGCGGACTTTGACAAACCATTTCGGCTAGAAATTGACGCCAGCTCTAAAGGTCTGGGAGCTGTGCTATCACAACAACAAAAGCAAGGTTTCAGGGTTATTGCGTATGCAAGTCGAGCTCTGAAGGGATCAGAGAGGAACATGACAAATTACAGCGCCATGAAACTAGAACTTTTGACATTAAAATGGGCTGTGACGGAAAAATTCAGGGACTATTTATTAGGTGCTAAATGTGTGGTATACACTGACAATAACCCCTTGAGTCACCTAAAGACAGCAAAGTTGGGATCCATCGAACAGCGATGGGCAGCAGAATTGGCACTCTTTGACCTAGAGATAAAGTATCGCCCGGGGCGGTCCAATGGCAATGCGGACGCCTTATCAAGGAATCCTTACGAGAGACCGGGTGATGAGGAAGAAACACTGACAGGAATATGTGAGGTCAGAGCGTCAACAGATATCCCTCATGGGGTACAAGTGATGCAAAACGGGCAGACCGGGGTGGAGCACATATCCACGGAACCCGAACATATGGACAGTAGTGATTTTAATTGCCTTAATCACCAAAAGATAAGAGATGCCCAGAGAACGGATAGTGGCTTACAACCGCTATTGAAACACGTCCAGGAACAAAAATTCCCAGGAAGGAGGGAAAGAGAACAATTTGGTCGAGAAACAAAGAAAATACTGAGTCAGTGGAACCGTCTCAGTATAAAGGATGGTGTTCTCATGCGGAGAATTCATGACCAAATTGATGGCACAATACACCAGGTGGTGGTGCCGGGACAATTACGAGGAGAAGTGCTAAGGTTGGCACATGACAGGGCAGGACACCAGGGTCAGGACAGAACCCACAAAATATTACGACGGAGGTGTTACTGGCCCAATATGGAAATGGAGGTCAAACGCCATTGTGAGGCTTGCGTGAGGTGTCAGCATGCGAAAATGCCAGTTGTCAAAATGAGACAGCCATCAGGACACCTACTAGCGACAAAACCACTAGAGATTGTGGCTATGGACTTTACGTCGTTGGAGCAATCATCGGATGGGACGGAACATGTGTTGGTAATGACTGATGTATTCACCAAATGGACGGTGGCGGTGCCCACGCGAGATCAGACCGCCAAAACAGTGGCAAAGGTCTTATTACAACATTGGTTCATCAAATATGGCATACCAAGACAATTACACTCTGACCAAGGAAGGGCTTTCGAGTCAGAAGTAATTAACCAACTGTGCAGCCACTACGGGATCAACAAATCTAGAACAACCACATTTAATCCGAAAGGAAACGGACAGTGTGAACGGTTCAACCGCAGCATGCATGATTTGCTGCGTACGCTAGAACCTGAACAGAAAAAACGTTGGCCTGATTTTCTCCCAGAGTTGGTATATCTATACAACTGCACACCACATGCCACAACCGGCTTTTCGCCATACATGTTGCTGTTCGGACGGGAGGCTCGACTCCCTCTTGATTTGTTCCTAGGAAAAAGGGAGAGTATGACTGGCTCATACACCGCACTGGAATATGTGAATGAACATATGAGAAGAATTAGAGAAATGTACAGGGTAGTACAGGAAAGACTAGAACATGAATCTCGGCGAAGGGAACCGCCGATACAGACGAAGGACCCGCCACTCAAACTGAATGACAGGGTATTACTGCGTAGCCACCCGTTAGGCAGAAACAAAATCCACGATCTCTGGGGACAGGAGATATGGCAAGTCGTGGAGATGCCTAAAGTAGCAGGTGGCCCCTTTAAGATAAGACCCATCGATCACGCCAAACCGGATCGGTGGGCGAATATTGCTCAATTAAAGAAATATTGGAATAGGCATGAAGAGCAGTTACACACAGAGAAACCCAAGACAATTAGGGAACCGGAAGTTATAACGGAAATTCACATACCCATTCCGGAACCATATCACCATCAACAGAACAACAGCGATACGCAAGGGGAGGATACCGGCAACAATGAGGATCCTGGTCCCTCCAGAAGCAGAGAGACAGTAGACCATCAGATAAGTGGTCCGCGGAGAAGTTTAAGGAACAGAAGGAATACGAAATTTTTTGTCAGCAACCATCAATTCTTTCATGGTCGCGCTGGTATGAAAACAGACTGTTCAAAGAGCTATAGAAGTGAACTGGTGAAGGCACCAAATGGAAAGGGTGGATGTGAATTCTAGAACTGTTTTGTGTCTCAGGAAGATGATGTAGACACAGTTGATATGTGAAATAGGTAGAACTGTCAATCGTATACGAATGGAACGTCGTGGACAGTGAGTAGAACAATAGATTTTTTTTTTACGACTGTGCGATTGACTTTGGAGGAGTGCACCTGCCAGGCGTTGTTTGTGGTTGAAAACACACAAAAAAAGCAGGGGTGGATGTAACTGGGGTAGGCCTAACTACCAGTTACAAATGATAACGAACGAGAAGCCGAGACACAGTGTTGGTCTGATGCAACCGATAACAGGTGGCTTATTGGGTCGGGCTGATAACAACCTCAAAGCCGGCGCGTGCTATTTTGGGAAACGGTATTCAGACGGCCTGTCAACTTTGATGGATAGGACGCAGATGTTATTTTACGGTCTGTACGTTTGAACTACGCAACTGGTGGTCGGAGATCGAGTACAAGTATCGATTACGGAGGAATACAAGTACAGAGACGAGTACGGATACAAGGCATAAATAGGAGGGCACGGCAGGACTCGTTCTCTCTCTTCCCGTTTCAGCGAGCTCTCTTCGATCTTCATCGCTCGCTTAGATCAGTCAGTCTGTGTGACTATGTCAAGTCGGTTATAGAACGGGTTAGCCGTATTGTGTTAAGAAGGATTATAGACATGTGGATTCAGTTATATAAAGCCTAGTGAAGGACTGTTAGGGGTCAGTTGATTCAGACTATTATTGAGAAGCATTCCTGTTGATTTATTGTGTTATTATGAAGCATTTCTTGATTCATGTAATAAAGGATCAATAGCGAACCTGCATCTTGAGTATCTATACTGTGGTCAATGTTGTCTAGAATGAGTGGTTAAACTCGTTAACACGTGGCACTACAGGCAATTAGGTCTCATTACATGTGGCGTTGCGAGCATGGTAACTGTTGGCTCGTTACAATTGGCGTTGTCGGCAGGATAAATGTTCGCTCGTCACATATATATATATATATATATATATATATATATATATATATATATATATATATATATATATATATACCCGCATCCTTAATTCTGGGCAATTTTTTTTAATATATTAATGCACACGGAGAAATTTAATTCAATCACACGTGACTTGGAATCTATTCCTTCTTGTCTTTCATTTCGAGGATGTTGTAAATCAGTCAGGCGAATGAAATGTAATCATGTTAAATATCTTACCCTCGACATCTCTTCTAACCGGCCCCCATGGTCTTGTTGCAATTTTTTCAGTTTGTGAAGGTCTTTCCTGCAGATCACTTCGTTTCCGACCTCAAAAAAACACACATACGAACCTAAACCCACATACTTAAAAACATTCAATTAAGCAGGGGTAAACGCTAGATATTTTTAGCTTTTTTGTGGAATTAAAGTTTAATATAGTAGTGAATGTATGCGTCCCTTTTGCAATTCCATCATAAAATATACGACTATGATATAATTTGTCCAATGCTATTCCCCTTCTGAACTTGATGGTCCATGGGGCCGGGGAAGTAGAGTTCACCTGTTTCTTGACCTTGGCTTATGAAAGAATTGTGTGGTCAGCCCTCTGCCCAGCCACCTTTACTTTCCCTAACGTTAGTTAGGTAGGCCTACTCATCAGAGCTGGGTGGACTCTGTTACGTTCTACTGACTAAACCCCGGATTCGAACTTGGCACTTTCATGTTAGCAGTCTAGCCCTCTGTCGATGTAGTCGTAGCAAAATTACTCATTTAAAACAGTAAAAAATGAATAAAAATTGTATAGGTTGGAGTTTAGAGATAAATTCAGAGCATGGCAAAGGTCAAGCTAAAAATAGATCGGTTACAATGTTTAGGTTAGAGTTGTGATTGCTATAATATATAGTGTATATATATATATATATATATATATATATATATATATATATATATATATATATATATATATACTGTAAGTCTCGCCGTGGTCCCTGACGACCTTGACACATCTCTCTGGCGTCTGGTTCAAGGCCGGACCACCAACTTCCACCACCGTACCAACACGTCCGGCACCCCCGTCCTGGTTCTGCCTCTTCGAATCAGGTCCACGGACGTCCCTAGTTCCAACATCTTGAGTATTTGCACTTTCTGAAGTCTGATTGAAAAGAGAGCGATAAGAAGCTTAATAATCTTTATCTGTTAGGACTACTAAATTCCATGTTAACCAACGGTTATATAATGACGTTGGGAAGTTTTTGATACTCCTAATGGCGCATCGAGCTGGGGAAGAGGAGAGACAGTTACCACATTGGCACATTTCTGGCAAGTTTTTTTTACATGCAGTTTGATTCAAAAAGTCCAGTTGTCTGACAGTCTGTTAATGGTTAAATCTATAAAATCAAGTTTAATTTATTTCAAATGAAACAGTGTGGCCTAGAGACCTACCGGCAGAGCACTATAATACTATCCCGAGAGTTCTAGTCGGGTTTATGTCAGTAGACCGTCCATGAGTCCACCAAACTATGATGGCTACGTAACTCACGTTAGGGAAAGTAAAGGCGGCTGAGCATAGTGCTGACCGCTCTATCCTTTTGTAATCCGTCATTTTCGAGATATTTCATAAGGGGGGATTCTTTCAATTTAATTTAATATTGAATTAGGCCGTACAAAAATTGTCGATGTCAACTTTATGATGCCAACACAACTTAGTGCAAGCGTTGTCAAGCTTTGATGTTAGCGTCTTTTAGCGCTGTTAGTTTTTGTTTGACTTTTGTGCGAGACTAACTTAGATGACGATTAAAGTGGGAGTAGCCAAAAATGCTACCATTGTGGTAATACCGCTGAAGTTCCCTAGATGGTGAAAGATAATTAATCGAGTAAGTTAAAGAAATAACAGTGCCGATGCCCATCTTCAAAGAACCAGTTTATTGGGTATTTAAACGACCAAAATCTCATTATTTAATAGTTCTTTTCAAAATAATTTCATTCGTACACAAGAGAAAACCTTGATGTCAAATGTAGTAATTTTTTTATTGTTAGATACAAGTAGTTAACATTGTAAAAAAATATTTAAAAAACTAAAAAAAAAATAGACACATCGTTTGTATTACCACTTCTTGCATAGCACTCAGAAGTCCATGCATAACAATCATGTTTTGTAACGGCCTCATGACCGTTTGCTGGAAAAGTCCCATGGCGAGAGCTGATGCAAGATCAAGATCCTCTTCTTGTTCAGTTTGACCTGAAGATCGAAATGCAATCTTTACTTAGGTAAAGTTTACGTGACCATGATTATACAGGTGGGTCCATGCTTAAGTAAAGCACACCCTGTCAATATTGCAAGAGCTTCGTTAAATACGAGGGTACGTCATTAAGACTTAAGTTAAGAACCCTCAAAAATGATTCACGGCAATTTTACGTTTTAGAAATAAAATTACTAAAATATCCCAAAAAATGTTTAACATAAGGCTAAAAAAAAGATAGGCGGGTTGGTGTAAACTGAAATACAGTTATCAGTCTTTCTTCAATGAAATTTAAATTCTAAACACGATTTGCAGCATTTGAAACATGTTAATCTCTTACCTAGGACAGGTAGATGATCCTTGTAGTACGAGCCCCCACTTGCAGGTGCCACACACCTGAGGTCAACTGACCCCCTGTAGCCGACCCTGCAGTTGCTGGTCGTCTTAGATGACCATTTGACCCTGGCTAGACTGCGTTAGGTGCCCTCCCAGTCCCCAATGCTTAGCACAGTTCCCTCACTACCGTCACCACCTGTGAAGTGGTGTGTGATTAGTACTAAATATAAATATATGCACAGTATTTCTGTATTTGCCTAACAAATATGAATGGTCTACGAAATTGTATTTATTTGGTTAATATACGTTACAAATATAGATATACATACTACGCATTAATCTATAAGCGGATAGTATATATATATATATATATATATATATATATATATATATATATATATATATATATATATATATATATATATATATATATATATATATATATATATATATATATATATATATATATATATATATATATATATATATATGTATATATATATATACAAACTCTTGATAAGCCTATATTTCCATTACCATCCTGGTTCCCCCAATTCTAGTCACACCCCTACCCATGTCCTTACCATCCTAGTTAAACCCCCCCCCCTCAAGTCACACCCCACCTCATTTCCTTACCATCCTGATTTCCCCCCCCCCCCCAACACCCCCTCCACATGTCCTTACTATCCTGGTCCCCTCACCCCCACCCCATATCCTTACCATTCTGGTTCCCCCCACCCCCCCCTACCCCCATGTCCTTACCGTCCTGATTCCCCCCTACCCCCATGTCCTTACCGTCCTGATTCCCCCACTTCCAGTCACAGCCCCTGCACACGGTGGCATTTGTAAAAATACCCCTGGCCACTCTCTTCTGACTGCTGTCACGACGTCGCCCAACTTCTTGCCTGAATAAACAATAACATTTACATAGAATTGATGGATAAACAGTAGGCCTACATGAGTATCCAACAGCCGAGCGATTGCCAACTTGTTGGGAACATTTCGGCCATAACAAAATGCCGGAGAACTATATATCGCATAGCGTTTGATAGCGAAAAAACGAAAAATAACGTAGATGTTTAAAGTGGCTTTATTCATATCATCATAATGTCTAAGACTGCTTAGCGGAATGTTACCACGTTTTGAAAACGAATATAGATTCATCTTAGACTTTTATTTAAAAAATAAAATAAACACACATCAGCATGGTTTTTAGTTTAAGAAACGTTGAACATTTGTAGAATTGGTATTCCGTTGGGGGTCGTCTAGTTTACACTTTACGAAATAAGCGTACATGATTTTTGTAATTATGAGTTTTATTTTCAGCTATAAGAAACGGTAACATGAATTTAAATATTTCTTCTCACATTCATAAAAAACAAACACTTTCTAGAGCTCGGTCGTTTTATATGGGGCAAACTCGAACGTTCTCAAAGGTATAAATGATTATAGGCTACCAATTATTTGTTAGTTAACTAATAAATTAGTTTTAGTAATGTATACCTAATTTGACCCGTAAAAATAGTGTTAATAGAGAACAGAAGAACAATAATGTTGGTATGGGGTCATCCATAAATGACATCACGCTTTTTTGACGATTTTTACCTCCCCCCTCCCCTCCGTCACACGTGGTCACAAAAAGCCAGACCCCCCCCCCCTAAAATGACGTCACACCTCAGTCTACAAACCCCCCCCCCTCAAAATTGCTGTTGATTTTTTCATAAAACATCGATATTTTTCAAAAATCTTGTCTTAACTCTGTCAACATGTAGTATTTTAATCAGTTCCTATTACAATTTATTAAAACCGTTTTCTAAAAAGCGAAATAACGGCCAAAACTCGTTTTCTAACACTGCTTTTTTATAATGCAAAAAAGTGACGACATACCATCTGAACCCCCCCCCCCCCCCACCCTCCCCTCCCCCTCATCACACACCGTCACAAAATTACGGACCCCCCTACGAGTAAAACGTCATTTATGGACGACCCTTATTGATATTTCTGTGTTTACTAAATCTTTAGACAAATGTGATCACTTGAATAACAATTTACCTCTCATGAGACGGGCTATATATCCTATAAAAGGAATGTCTGACGTCATGCGCGTCAGACATGTAACACTTAGTGCAGAAGTCAAAGTTGATGCAGTCACTGCACTTCCAGCGTATCCCCGAGATGACCTCGACCTTGCAGCCGTCACAGTTGATGCCCGGATGTTTCGTGCCTGAGAAGTGAGACATGCATGATTTAATACCAATAAACATATATCACGTGGTACATCGTTTCGCCTAATCTTTTATAAATTAACCGTTTATTTAAACTACTCACATTCAACTATTCATACTTTAAAAAAAATAAAATGTAAAAAAAAAATAATAATAAAAGTAAAAATATGTATTTTCCACCAATTAGCTAGACTGAACACTTAAAATAAAATTAGTAAATAATTTATTCGAGAACATAAAAGCCTTAAAAACAGAAAATACTTTAAAAACTTGAGCACACATTCAGTGAAAGTAATTATGCTTTCGCTGTTATGGGCTTTTTACTTGAGTAATGATAGTATTTTCTTCACTGTGTCCTATGTATCCAATATTTGATACTTATAATTTACTTATGAAACCAAAAATTGCAAACCTTCTGCAACAACCACGCCTTCTTCTTAATGCATATTCGGCCGTAACTAAAAATAACCTTTTTATTAATTCATCAGACCATTTAATCCACATATTTTATTACAGTTCTTGTGTAATTGTGAATTGGACAGTTCAATAAGAGCATTCTAATGTCTTTTTCGTCGTAACGACAAAATGTAGTTTTGTTACCCTATGAGGTTTAGCACTTGGTGCATGAAATACGTCCAATCCTGGGCGTAGCGAGGGGGGTGGGTGGGCGGAGGGTGCGGACCGCACCGAGTGACACCATTTAGGGGGGTGACACCAAGGCACAAAATAGTAAAATATATAGAGAAAAACTTGAGGGGGGGGTGCAAATCGAAAGTTTGAGGGGGGGGGGTGCAAATCGAAAGTTTGAGGGGGGTGTTGCAAATCAAAAAGTTTGTCCCCGGTAAGTGTCGCTACGCCTCTGGGGGGGAGGGGGGTGACACCATTAAGTGCCGCACCGTGTGACACCCGACTCCGCTACGCCACTGCGTCCAATTAGTCATGCTACGTGACATGTTACCCTGCACCAAAACACCTGAAGTGGTGAAACCATGTTTGGGTGTAATGTTTGATTATGATATCATATACTCTTTGTTTCTTTTCCAATAATGTTATCTTTTCTTAGGATGCTGCTAACGTTTCTTTATAAAAACTAAGTCATTTCCCCCATAGTGTTTTGTTGCGATGTTTAATTTTAGAATGTTATACTAAAGCATATGCTTTTGCAATCGTTTGTTGCATAAAAAGGTGGATTATGTAAACAAATAATGGATGTATGCATACCTGTCTGAATTGCAATTAAATCTGATATTATCATAGTAAACGTGTGTCTTTCTATTTAAATTTAAAATACACACACACACACACACACATATATATATATATATATTTATATTTATATATATATATATATATATATATATATATATATATATATATATATATATATATATATATATATATATATATATATATATATGAAATACGTCCAATCCTGGGCGTAGCGAGGGGGGGGGGGGGGCGGAGGGTGCGGACCGCACCGAGTGACACCATTTAGGGGGGTGACACCAAGGCACAAAATAGTAAAATATATAGAGAAAAACTTGAGGGGGGGGGGGTGCAAATCGAAAGTTTGAGGGGGGGGGGGGTGCAAATCAAAAAGTTTGTCCCCGGTAAGTGTCGCTACGCCTCTGGGGGGGGAGGGGGGTGACACCATTAAGTGCCGCACCGTGTGACACCCGACTCCGCTACGCCACTGCGTCCAATTAGTCATGCTACGTGACATGTTACCCTGCACCAAAACACCTGAATTGCAATTAAATCTGATATTATCATAGTAAACGTGTGTCTTTCTATTTAAATTTAAAATACACACACACACACACATATATATATATATATATTTATATATATATATATATATATATATATATATATATATATATATATATATATATATATATATATATATGACCTCACCGCAAGGGCCGTTGTCTAGGACCAGCAGATCAAAGCCCCCCTCATGCCCCGCCCTGTAGGTTTTCCTGATCCCCGAGTCCCACAACACGACCACACAGTCGTCTGGGACAGAGGTCGAGTCTTCTCCCAACTCGACCACAGTGCCGACATGACCCTCTCCGCCATCTTGCTCGCCATATTTCCAGTCGGGTCCACGGACAACCCGTAGACCAACCTCCATACCTAAACAAAATGTATTCATATAAGTTTAAAGTAAATCTCAATATACCGCCTATATTTCGTGTAAATTTCTTATTAATGTTATCTATAAGTTTATATATATATATATATATATATATATATATATATATATATATATATATATATATATATATATATATATATACACTAAATTCGAATGTATTGAATATCTTACCGCAAAACCCTTCTGACTAAGATGAACTTCCTTGTACAACTGCCAAGCTAGTATTTTATTTATTGTCCTCTACTTTAAAAACACGCTTTAAATTTGGATTCTTCCGTGTCATTGTGTCATTTGGCAGTGGTCCCAAATACACCTGGAATACATGCATTAATATTAATAAAACTAACAGAAAATGATAATTGTGTATGTTTTAAAAAGTAGTTATTTTATCAAGATGAGAGAGAGAGAAGACAGAGTAGATGCTTTCACATAGACACAAATAATCAAATAGTGTTTGGTAACAGATGAGCCTTAGATGATGATAAGCCTGTGACCAACTATTTAAAAAAATGAACTTGATTGTTGTGTTAAATAAATTTTAAATAAATTTTACACGTACTTGAATTGCGCCTGGCTGCAGGAAATGTAAAGGCGCTTAGCATTATGCCCACCACCATATTTCTTCATATGCAGGTGTCACAGAAACAGTTGAACTCTACTTTACCTGTTCAAGGGACCGCCAGATTAGAAAGCATACTTTTGTAAAACTTATAGATCACCTTTTCTGTAAACTATTTGTTTCTCATATTTAATTAAATTGCAATTGTCTCTAAAATTATACTTTATTTTGATTAAAGTTAGCCATTTATTGTTGTTTACATTTTACAACGTAAAATATTGTGATGGTTTTTATTCTAAATTTCAAATATTTCATTGCTTTAATTAAAATATAGTTGTTCCTTTACAAATGGGTTGAAAAAGAGTACAGATTTATAAAATATGTATGGCTGTTTACTAATTCAGTAACGGTGCTAGCACTAGGTTTATGTTTTGGTTATGTAATTTAGAATAACACTTTGTAATTTAGATTTTAATTGACTAGGCGATTTCAGAGCTTATTTAGCAAACCTCGCTGACGCTTACAAACTTGAGAGAAACGTCGCTGGGAAAATTACTTTTGGAGACAATGCAATTGATCGCACTGAGGATTTCTTTTTTAACATGTAGTCAACTGTTTCAAGCGTTTCTAAGTTAGAACCTCTATACATTTATGGAGACTTAACCTAGTAGGCACAGAAAATTTATTACATGTAGTTTCTAAAAAAAATTTTCACCATAGAACATATTATCCTATCAGGAAGCAGTTTAACTTGCGAGGGTAATAAAAACAAATTGCAGAAGCAGAAGACATAAACTAATGCAGGGGCGTCGGCATACTTTGTCAAACTGTGTGGTACTGTGTGGTACTGTGTGGTACTGTGTGGTATTGTGTGGTACTGTATGGTACTGTGTGGTACTGTGTGGTACGGTCTGGTACTGTGTAGTGTGTGGTACTGTGTGAAACTGTCTGGTACTGTGTAGTGCTGTGTGGTACTGTGTGGTACTGTGTGGTACTGTATGATACTTTATGTTACTGTCTGGTACTGTGTGGTGCTGTGTGGTACTGTGTGGTACTGTGTAGTACTGTGTGGTACTGTGTGGTACTGTGTGGTACTGTGTGGTACTTTATGGTACTGTGTGGTACTATGTGGTACTGTGTGAAACTGTCTGGTACTGTGTGATGCTGTGTGGTACTGTGTGGTACTGTGTGGTACTGTGTGGTACTGTGTGGTACTGTGTGGTACTGTGTGGTACTGTGTGGTACTGTGTGGTACTGTGTGGTACTGTGTGGTACTGTGTGGTACTGTGTTGTACTGTGTGGTACTATGTGGTACTGTGTGGTACTATGTGGTACTGTGTGGTACTATGTGGTACTGTGTGAAACTGTCTGGTACTGTGTAGTGCTGTGTGGTACTGTGTGGTACTGTGTGGTACTGTGTGGTACTGTGTGATACTTTCTGTTACTGTGTGGTACTGTGTGGTGCTGTGTGGTACTGTGTGGTACTGTGTGGTACTGTGTGGTACTTTCTGTTACTGTCTGGTACAGTGTGGTGCTGTGTGGTACTATGCGGTACTGTGTGGGACTGTGTGGTACTGTGTGGTACTGTGTGGTACTGTGTGGTACTGTGTGGTACTGTGTGGTACTGTGTGGTACTATGTGGTACTGTGTGGTACTATGTGGTACTGTGTGGTACTATGTGGTACTGTGTGGTACTATGTGGTACTGTGTGGTACTATGTGGTACTGTGTGAAACTGTCTGGTACTGTGTGGTACTGTGCGGTACTGTGTGGGACTGTGTGGTACTATGTGGTACTGTGCGGTACTGTGTGGTACTGTGTGGTACTGTGTGGTACTATTTGGTACTGTGTGGTACTATGTGGTACTGTGTGGTACTGTGTGGTACTGTGTGGTACTGTGTGGTACTATGTGGTACTGTGTGGTACTATGTGGTACTGTGTGGTACTGTGTGGTACTATGTGGTACTGTGTGGTACTATGTGGTACTGTGTGAAACCGTCTGGTACTGTGTGGTACTGTGTGGTACTGTGTGGTACTTTGTGGCACTGTCTGGTACTGAATGGTACTATGTGGTACTGTGTGGTACTGTGTGGTACTGTGTGGTACTGTGTGGTACTGTTGTGGTACTGTGTGGTACTGTGTTGTACTGTGTGGTACTATGTGGTACTGTGTGGTACTATGTGGTACTGTGTGGTACTATGTGGTACTGTGTGAAACTGTCTGGTACTGTTAAGTGCTGTGCGGTACTGTGTGGTACTGTGTGGTACTGTGTGGTACTGTGTGATACTTTCTGTTACTGTGTGGTACTGTGTGGTGCTGTGTGGTACTGTGTGGTACTGTGTGGTACTTTCTGTTACTGTCTGGCACAGTGTGGTGCTGTGTGGTACTGTGCGGTACTGTGTGGGACTGTGTGGTACTGTGTGGTACTGTGTGGTACTGTGTGGTACTGTGTGGTACTGTGTGGTACTATGTGGTACTGTGTGGTACTATGTGGTACTGTGTGGTACTATGTGGTACTGTGTGGTACTATGTGGTACTGTGTGGTACTATGTGGTACTGTGTGAAACTGTCTGGTACTGTGTGGTACTGTGCGGTACTGTGTGGGACTGTGTGGTACTATGTGGTACTGTGCGGTACTGTGTGGTACTGTGTGGTACTGTGTGGTACTGTGTGGTACTGTGTGGTACTATGTGGTACTGTGTGGTACTATGTGATACTGTGTGGTACTATGTGGTACTGTGTGGTACTGTGTGGTACTGTGTGGTACTATGTGGTACTGTGTGGTACTATGTGATACTGTGTGGTACTATGTGGTACTGTGTGGTACTATGTGGTACTGTGTGGTACTATGTGGTATTGTGTGAAACCGTCTGGTACTGTGTGGTACTGTGTGGTACTGTGTGGTACTTTGTGGCACTGTCTGGTACTGAATGGTACTATGTGGTACTGTGTGGTACTGTGTGGTACTGTGTGGTACTGTGGTACTGTGTGGTACTATGTGGTACTGTGTGGTACTGTGGGGATATCCTAGACTGTTGTTATCACTAGACGTAAAATATTCTACGGTTAAAATGGTTGTAGTATTATAGTATAGGTTTTTATGATACGGACGTTTTATATTAGTTTATACATACACACACATATACACATATATATATATATATATATATATATATATATATATATATATATATATATATATATATATATATATATATATATATACAGGGAGCTATGTCTATATGTCATCCCTCATGCTTTATACACATTAAATGTACAACTTAAGTTCCTCTTTAGACCTAGCGATCCATTTAATAGATGAATCAGAGCTAATATGTTTCTTGACCTCGGCAATTGAAGATAGTGTAATCAGCACTATGCCCAGTCGCCTTTACTCTCGCCAACGTTAATCATGCCAACCGAGATGCGAACTCAAGACCTTCGGGCAAGCGGCCAAACGCTCTGACCACAACGTCCCGCTTATAGAAGTTATATTACAAATATCATAAACAATACAAATTATATACGTATATCATAACCATTAATCAAAGATGTGTATATTTTGTTAGGGTTACAATTAATTATAAATAGGTTCTGTATTTTACTAAGCCACGATTCAGATCTACCAAAGATTCTCGTGTTTAACCTAATGTCTATATTGGTATGTCATGCTGCCTTGACATCAGAAATATGCAGCCTTTTGTGGTAGTGCGAACGTGACAAGTCACGCATATAAATCCTGCTATCAGCTAACAACATTGAAATAAGCTTTACAAAGGCCCAGTCAACAGCAATTGTATGTCAGTGCCATATTTGGAATTGAATACGACATATATAAATTGTTTTCAAATGTATTGTTCGGGGATAGGTTTTGGAGAATCAACCGTTTAAAAAAAAATAACACATGCATATGCGAAATACGTTTACAATTTCGTGGAATAAAATATGAAAAAAATTTACATTTCTTCATATAGTAGGCCTACATAAAGACAGACATAGACAGAACAGGCAGAATAGGCAGGCACGCACTGGACACATAAAACGGTATATAAAGAAAATACCTAAAGTCACTACCCCTCATATCTTATAACATTTCTATTTTACATAAAAGACATTTGTGGTCTTCATTACTCAATGAGCGTAGGTATGAGTACTACTAGATCTAATTGTTAGTCAATTTATTTAAGAAATTAGAAAAAAAATGTCAACGTTTTTAACTTTGCGGATCTCTGGTAGGCAAAAATACAAACATCTATCGATTTGATTACGACACGGCCATTGCAGTTTTTGTCTTATTTTTTTCAGTTTGTTAATAAAAAAAAACCTGACAACAATTTAAATTATTTCTGTTGTCAGAGTGGAGACCACTTTATACAGTATGTTTTTAAAACTTTGTTTAGGAAGTAGGGGTTTTCTCAACAATGTAGAAGAAAGTGCGCACTAAAGATTCCCAACACTAACTTTTTGTTTGAATTAACAAATCCTCACACAAATCACATGTTTACAGCAACAAATCCTCACACAAATCACATGTTTACAGCAACAAATCCTCACACAAATCACATGTTTACAGTAACAAATCCTCACACAAATTACATGTTTACAGTAACAAATCCTCACACAAATCACATGTTTACAGTAACAAATCCTCACACAAATCACATGTTTACAGCAACAAATCCTCACACAAATTACATGTTTACAGCAACAAATCCTCACACAAATCACATGTTTACAGTAACAAATCCTCACACAAATCACATGTTTACAGCAACAAATCCTCACACAAATTACATGTTTACAGCAACAAATCCTCACACAAATCACATGTTTACAGTAACAAATCCTCACACAAATCACATGTTTACAGCAACAAATCCTCACACAAATTACATGTTTACAGTAACAAATCCTCACACAAATCACATGTTTACAGCAACAAATCCTCACACAAATCACATGTTTACAGTAACAAATCCTCACACAAATCACATGTTTACAGTAACAAATCCTCACACAAATTACATGTTTACAGCAACAAATCCTCACACAAATTACATGTTTACAGCAACAAATCCTCACACAAATCACATGTTTACAGCAACAATGCCTAACATCCAAATATGTTAATAAGCAACAAGCCAAAATGTGTTACCATATGTCATATTATTTACATACAGACATACTTTGACAATAAAGAATTCCCTCACTGATTAACATATTTTCCATATAAAAATACAGCTGTCAATACACCTACATATTAACTTTAAATGTATATGCAAACATAGATTACGATGTACTGCTATTTATAAGAAAGTATTATTGTGTGTCATGGTATACGTTTTTAAACAGAAATGTAACTTTGCTGGTTTCATCAAAGGGAAGGGAGGTTATGGTGTGGTACAATTTTCTGAACAGATTTTAAGAAGTTATTTCTCTTTTAGAAAAAATAATTAAAATATTTTTTTTTAAGTAAATTAGATAAAACCCCATTGTTTTGCCACGCTGCTGTTGCTGATAAATTATGAACTACACACGTTTTTACTTTCTCGTAAATACGAAGTATAGAGAAAATATTGTAATCGTGAAAAAAAATAAATAAACCGGGAGTGATCTCCCCTAAACTTTCTCGAATATTCTTACATGAAACAACAGGGGATGGCAACTCGGGACATAGACAATATTTTAAATCCATTTTAAATACTTAAACTTTTAAAAATAGAATAAAATCTTGTGGAAAAAGAATTGCACACCAAGTGAACGCCAAATAAAATGTGCATAATAGTGCGGGATATTATTAGTATTTTATACATTCACATGCGTTTTTTTTAATAGAAATTTCATATTAGAATATTCAAGAAAGTTTAGGGGAGATCACTCACGGTTTATTTATTATTAAAAATGTAATTGCTTATTCCTTCTTCTTCTTCGTTCTTAATTATTAGTGTTGAAGGGGATCGAGATTTATCTGCCAGTGGTGGTCTGAACTCGAGACTTTGTTCGAATTTATCAACCATGAGCTTTTTGCCGACTCGACCACGCCTCCAACACAATTAAGGGTTACGTGTCAATTGGTTATGCGCCATTGAGGCCATTGACTCCGATTTCAGCCTGCTTTTCTTTTTGGATTTCCATAGCCTTTGTCCAACCAAGAACAAACTACAAGGCAGCAGTTGTTTAATTTTGGAGTTGTCTCTCCTAGAAGAGTGGCTGTCCCCAGCTAACGAGTCTCATCTGCCCGAGGATTCAAACTCGAGACTTTTCAGTTTAGCAACCATGAGCTTTACCGACACGACCACGCCGACCCCTATTGCTTATTCCGATTTACAACATTATATTTAGAAGCTTTGTTTCTATGGAATATTAAAAAGACTTGAACTGAGACATGCAAATGAGGATACTTAAACTTGTACAATAATTATCATTAAAAAAGTTAAAAAAAAAACACGTTTTCTGATTGAACTAAAAAGTAGAAAATAAATGCTATACATCACAATAATGCAAGCGATTACTTTTTAGTTCAATCAGAAAACGTGGATTTTTAAAAACTTTTTTAATGATAATTATTTTCTACTTTTTAGTCTTTGTCTGTTTGTTTGCATTAAAATCTTGCTATCGATTTTATCTTTTCGCATTCACTTTTTTTTTGGGTAAACGAAGACAACTCGTAAAAAACACGTGCCTTGAAACCGAGTCGAGTGGGTTAGCAATCGACTCGACCAACCACTCGACCATATCGTCTCCCCCATACTGGCCACCAGTTGTTCCGGTTGTTTGTACACAAACACCGCGTGACCACTACTCAGTAAGCCAAAAGAGGGAGAGTACCGAACCTTGTTTTCATCAAATTACAATTACTGGGTTATGTCCCTTTTTCCCCACGTTTTTTATGTTCATATATAGCGCTCTGTTATTATCAATAAACTGTTTTCATGGATCAATTTAGTAATAATAACAATTGAATATTCTATTGTCATCGGAAACAAAGCTTCCCTGAAAATTTCAGCGCGCTAGCTAACTGGGAAGTGCCCGAAATTTCGATCGCAAGATTTGAATGGAGAACCAAACAAACAAACAAAAAAACAAACAAAAAAACAAACAGACGCGAAAGCAAGTTAAAGAAAACGTAGGAAAAAAACTAAGTGATAACATTTTTTTAATGCAATACAAACCGGCAAGGGAAGTTATTCTGTATACACCTCTATTAGTTAAATATTAAATTGAATACAGCATTTCAATCAGTATCTTTTGTTTTCAAGTAACTTCCTAACTAGTGCCCCCCGATGCAGACGCATCCTCCCCACCCCCCGCTTTGTGATTCTACTGTCACAAGTGACAGTTGACAAGAATGACATCAGCATTTATAAGGTATCGGATAACACAAGATGATACATCAATTAATATAATTGATCGACTATTAACGAACTGCACTATTGATATTATAATCTGGTAGATAATGATTTAAAAATAAGGATGATCTGCTATGTTTAGAACATGATAAAGTGAGGCAGCTCTAATTGTTCAGGCATTTTGTTTGCAAGGAAGCAATCAAGTACATTAAGTATCCCTTGCAGAAGTTATTACTCTTTGATTTTCGCAATTGTCCTATCCGAAAAAATCTAATGGAGGTTGGTCTACGTGTCGTCCGTGGACCGGACTGGAATTATGGGGACCAAGATGGCGGTGAGGGTCATGTTGGGACTGTGGTCAAGGTGGACGGAGCCTCGTCTGCTGGGTGTGTGGATGTGCTGTGGGACTCTGGAACCAAGAAGACCTACAGAGTGGGACACGAGAGCGCCTTTGATCTGCTGGTGTACGACAACTCGCAGTGTGGTGAGTTTAATTCCATGTAGTACAGAATTCTAAAAAATAAAAAAGTGTAATTTAAAGTAATATAGACTTTTAAAAAATTCAAAATAGTACTTAATTTTTAACATTAAATACTAACTAAATTTACAATATTTAAACTATTCAATACGAACTGTTTAAAGTCACTTTTGTATTGTAAATATATTTCATTATAGTTTAGGATAATGTATTCTTTAAAATCGGTTTTAAATCTTGGTCAACTTCAGCTATTTCAAAAATTAATGACATTTTATCAAATGCTGTTGCAATTTTTAATAACGAGTTTTGTATTGTACGAAGTGCAGAGTAAATATTGATTTAAAATTAAATTAAATTTTGAACAGTTTTGCACTGCAAAAGAAATGACAATTTATGAATAAAGGGATTAGTTTATTCTTATTTCAATATTTAAATTGAATAATTAATCGTTAATTAGTGTTAATGTTTCTTGATGAGAGAATAAATACCTAAAATATATTTTAAATGTGTATATTGGGAATTCAGCACATTGTTTTAATTAGAACTATTACAATATTACTTCATCTCAGTGGCGTAGCAAGGTCGGGTGTCACCCGGTGCGGCACTTAATGGTGTCAACCCCCCCCCCCCCCCCCCCGAGGCGTTGCGACCCTTCCTGGGGACAAACTTTCAATTTTCGATTTGCACCCCCACCCCTAAAACTTCCGATTAGCACCCCCCCCCCCCCCTCAAACTTTTGATTTGCACCTCTTAAAAGACTATTTAACACTCGAATTAATGACTTAATTAAGTGGAATTATCATTTTTCTCTATATATTTTGCTGTATTTTGCCTTGGTGTCACCCCCCCCCCCTAACTGGTGTCACCCGGTGCGGTCCGCACCCCCCCCCCCCTCGCTACGCATATGATTCATCTATAGTGTGATGAGGGGATCAAACCCATTCGTTTTTACCGTCAATGTACAATAAATATAAACTGCCTACTGCAATGCTCAAAGACAGATTTCTATATTTTTAGTACCATTTCTAAAGGGACCGTTAAAAAAAAATGTCCAAACAAATCTCTGTTTTTTACCTATAGGGCTGGTAAGTAGGTCACCAACCAGTTCTACGGCTCAATAAAATCTGCATGAGCCATAGAACTGTTTATTGACCTACTAACCAGCCCTATACGAAGGTATCTCTAACGCTCTGTTTCACTTCCTGGTACGTAGGCCTGGATAACATATATCTGATAACATGTGATGACTTAAGCGATATGGTACTGAAAAAAGATATTGGTATAACCTGATTTTCATGCATAAAAAAAAACTGTTCCATCCTGTTTAATTGCCTTATGTAATGAGGCAAATAATTTGAAAACTGTAACATATAATTCCTTTACAAACTATTAACCGTTTTTATTTTACCTCCCCTGCTCAATCTTCACCACCACCAGGGGCGTAGCGACGGGGGGGGGGGGGGGGGCGGGGGGTGCGGACCGTACCGGGTGACACCATTTAGGGGGGTGACACCAAGACAAAAAAATAGCAAAATATATAGAGAAAAATGATAATTCCACTTAATTAAGTGATTAATTCGAGTGTTAAATAGTCTTTTAAGAGGTGCAAATCGAAAGTTTGAGGGGGGGGGGGGGTGTGCAAATCAAAAGTTTGAAGGGTGGGGGTGCAAATGGAAAATCGAAAGTTCGTCCCCGGGAAGGGTCGCTACGCCTCTGGGGGTGCCGCACCGGGTGCTACGCCACTGACCACCACCCATCCCTAAAATCACTCTAAACCTCGGCGTATCACCCCATAAAAATAGCAATTCTTTTTAAATCGCGATTTCTTTCTAAATTATTTACAACATTGGGTATAAAATAATGATTAATTTAAAAAGTACATTTTGATTATTCGGTATCTGCGTGACTTTTTAAAATGTAAAACTGTGTCGTCACAGTTTCTGAAACGTCCAGCACCACTCTACACACATGGTTACTACAGTCAGACCCCGCCCTCGGCACCATCTTCATGTGTGTATAGACTACACCAATTCCCCCCCCCCCCCAAAAAAAAAAAAACACCACCCCAACCTTTTTGTTCCAGGAGTCAGACACCGTGGCATCAACTGTGACGTGTGCCAGACCGAGGTCATCGTTGGTCTACGCTGGAAATGTAACGACTGCATCAACTTTGACCTCTGCACCCAATGTTACATGACGGACAAACACGACGTTACTCACACTTATCAAAGGTTCTACAGCCCGCGTTCTGATGGGTGAGTGTTGTATTTTACGTACAACACAGCTTCAGTCATAGAACTAAATAATGTCACAGCTATTGAAATGGCAACAGCTTTGGAAATAGCCTTAAGACACAGCTGCAGATTTAGCTAGAAACATAGCCGCAGCATTCACAGCAGCCATAGCTACAATCAAGGAACGGAGTGGTCTAGCGGTAGAGAGCTGGACTGCTAATCCAGATTCAAGTCAGTAGACCGTCCCTGAGTCAACCCAACTCTGATGGGTACCTAACTCACGTTAGGGAAAGTAAAGGCGGCTGGGCATAGTGCTGACCACACTATCTCTTCATATGCCGAGGTCACAGAAACAAGTGAATTCTACTTCATTTGCCCTATAGACCGTCAGGTTTGAAAGGGAACTTTACTACTTTAGCTACAATCACAGCCACAGACATAAACATAAACATATGCACAGCCATAGGCACAGAATTTTGCACAGGAGCAGAAAATAGGTAAAGACATGGTCACAGGCTTTGCATAGACGTGTACGTGTACGTGTACGTGTACGTGTACGTGTACGTGTACGTGTACGTGTACGTGTACGTGTACGTGTACGTGTACGTGTACGTGTACGTGTACGTGTACGTGTACGTGTACGTGTACGTGTACGTGTACGTGTACGTGTACGTGTACGTGTACGTGTACGTGTACGTGTACGTGTACGTGTACGTGTACGTGTACGTGTACGTGTACGTGTACGTGTTCGTGTACGTGTACGTGTACGTGTACGTGTACGTGTACGTGTACGTGTACGTGTACGTGTTCGTGTACGTGTACGTGTACGTGTACGACCTAGTATTATTATAATAAAATTTGTTGTTTGTACTTTAATCATCAGCGTGGACGTGGGAAAACGAAGTGACATCAAGGAAAAAAAAAGGGCCATGGGGATATTCGTGGGGGCGAGTGTGTGTCGAGGTTGTGACTGGAGGTGGAGCGATCAGGACGGTGAGTGGGGGCGTTGTATGACGCACGTGTTTGAAAATTACATGATTGTAAAATTTGATGCTTGTGTTTTGAAAATATTATATAAAACTTAAATAAGTAGTTCTCAAATAGGAGTAGGATGAAATAAAAACGTAGCATTAAAACTCCGTGAACGTATTGATCAAGAGTCTATCAGGATAATTAATGTCGGATTAAGATGAAGTATGTTATAGGTAAATAGTCTAGTCTATCTAGTTGATGAGTCTTAAATCGACGCGATTGCTCGAATATAATGATTATGGTTAATTATTTTTCCCATCTAAAAGAAATATAGAAAATCGTCCAATAATTTAACAGTTTTTTCCCTTTATCGTGGCATACATTTTGACTTGCTCTGCTTTCCGAGCGTCGGACCGGATTAGGTTCATGCGCCAGAATGCTTTGCTAAGTACATTAAAACAGTTTGCCTATAACATGGATAATTACAAACACATAACAAAAAATGTAGTATTTACATAAACCAAAGCACGTCACGAGATTTAAGAAAATTAAAAAAAACGTCACGTGTACTTCTAATGGCTTTTAATTTGTTAAACCAAAACTGCATTGATGTTAAAAGTTTCAGGATAAGCCACACAGCAGCTATCATTTTTATTACCTAATGTTTTATAAATAGGTGTATACCGGTGATTTGCAGGGGGTGCTGGGACGGAGGGGGTCGTGGTAAAAATCAGCAATTGGGGAGGAGTCTTTCCTCAGCAGTGTAACAGTCAAGTGGCCCTCGACGTCAACATTCTCCTACAGAGTGGGGCGGTCAGGTGCTGTAGACCTCAGGTGCAGCAAAGCGTCAATTAGTGGCAGTTACTACAAGGAGCACCTGCTAGTACTAGGTACCTGTCTTCAGAGCTTCTTCCAGGCATTTCCCCCCCCCCCCCCCGAAAAAATTCTACCGCCCCCCCCCCCGTACGTACGAAATGAAATTTATATAATTTATATAGAAAATATATACTCTTAACAGTGTCCGCCCCCGCCCCCCCAAAGAAAGTCTACCGCCCCCCCCCCCCCCGAAAATTTCAAGTGCCCCCCGGAGAAAAAAGTCTGGAAGAAACACTGCCAGTTTTATTTGCGCTTGTGTTCATCCTCTCCTGCACAGTTGATCAGGATAGTTGCTTGATCCCGTACAAGGTTTTATAACACTGTATTTTTTTTAAAAAGTCCCGAGTTCGAACCTCTTGAAAGTTGAGTCTCGATATCTGGGGACATCAACACATCTCGGAAAGAAAACTGCTGCAAAATCAAACAACTACTGCATTGTAGTTTGTTCTTGGTTGGACAAATGTTATGGAAGCAAATCCAGAAAGAAATGCAGGCTGAAATCGGAGTCAATGGGACATGTGTCACAAATGATCAGAAACAATTCAATTATTTCTTATGAAGAAAATAATCCTCTTTAGACCTAGCCATCCATTGGGCAGATGGCGTTCACGTGCAGGAAAAACTTTAAAACATACGATATATCTAACGTAGTATTAAAATTTGATTTTAGTATTTTAGCAACACTAATTATTGACATATTTTTTACTTGCAACAGCAAATGCTGCTAATTGTATGGCTAGTCTAATATTACCGTGTAATATCTTTATATATTAAAACTTATCAATGTAGATTGATTTATTTGTCAGTCTTATTTTAACACTTTTATTTTCAGTTTAAAATAATTATATCAACATTGTTTAAATATGTACAAACACAAAGTTTAACAATGCCAACTCAAATGTGACACAAAGATTGATGTTGCGATACCTCAGTGATAGTTGTTTTTCTCATAGTGTCTTTCAAGAGTAGAATAGAAAATATATAAGTGATTATCTTTGCTTAACTACTGGATTTGATGGAAGACCATTGTTGTTCTGGGGGTAACACAATTTTGTATTCGGTTGTAGATTTTTCGATGAGGCCACCAGGGCAGTGAAGCGTGTTATTGGTGTTCAAATGTTTATGATTTTAAAATGTGTGACTTGTGTTCGGGATAAGAGAGGGGCGAGAGGACTCGGTAGGCACGGTGCCTAACACGCCGAGTTGGTTTTGGGGAGGCAGAGATTCGTATCCTTGCAGTGACGGTGTTTATATTTGTAGGGTGTATGACTCTAAACAAAAAGGGGGAGGGAGATTGGACGTAGATGTCTAAAACTAAAATGTGCAGGCACGGAGAGAGAGTGTGAGAGAGTGGCCTCCCCTTGAAAATGGTGTGCTAGCGTTAAAACAAGTGTGTGAACTAAGGGATGTATGAACGAACGTAGTGTAGCGTCAACACAGTGTACCTAATCATCAGTGTTTTTCTTCGCGTCAATGTTTTTCTTGAAGTTAGGGTAAATTATACTTCAATGTTACAGATTCACTTTGTGGATTTTTTTTTATTGTTACACCTGGCCCTAAGGAGCCAAATATACTTAGAAAGCCGGTTGTAACAATTTATATACATATATCAACAATAGTCATGTTTGTAATTGGCGTATGGGCAGTGGCGTAGCGAGGTCGGGTGTTACCCGGTGCGGCACTTAACTTAATGGTGTCACCCCCAGAGGCGTAGCGACCCTTCCCGGGGACAAACTTTAAAATTTTCGATTTGCACCCCCCCCCCCTTAAACTTTTCATTTGCACCCCCCCCTTAAACTTTCGATTTGCACCCCCACCACCTCAAATCTTTCTCTATATATTTTGCTATTTTTTGCTTTGGTGTCACCCCCTAAATGGTGTAACCCGGTGCTATCAAAATTTGTTGCGATACGTTTGTAGTCAATTTGATACAACAGGTTTAGTGCGTGCAATGATGAAATAAAGTGTGGTGTAATAAAGTTTCTAATGGATAGCATAATATTTTTTACGAAGGAAAGTACCTAAAATTGTGTTGCTTGTGTCTTTAGTTAAAACCTCAGAAATTGTAACTCAAGTGCCTGTTACTTCAGTTACGTTACAAGCCGACACACGATATTTATTTCGCTTGTTTAAATTAAACGATTTAATTTTTGTTGTTGATTGGTTAATTATTAGACACAAAAGATAATACATTATCTTAGGAAAAAGTAGATGAATATTAAAATGAGAAAATTAGGAGGCTTACATGGCTGCGTCATGTCTGATACATGTAAAAGTTGTGTCATCGGATGTAAGTAATAGAGTGTCACAGCTGATTAAAAATATATAAACTTTTCTAATGATACATTTTATAAAATAACAGTCTAAGGTAGGTTATTATGTTGAGTTACATGGAGATAAATAACAAAAAATAATACTATGTAAACGTGCTATCTTCTAAATGGTACTAAACTATTGAGTAAACAATGGTTTAAATGTATGCTGCATGTTATTTTAAAGCACAAATAATTGTAATGTGGTTTATTTAAGTCAAAAAGTAAAATCTGAACTTGTAATATATATCTTACACTTTTTAAAAATAAAAATGAATAAGAAATGCTCTATTGTGTTGTATTTGGTTTGTATAACAAATGAAAGTTCTAAATTGTATTACATATGGTATGGACTTTTATTGTTTGCAGGTAGCTGCATCTACGCGACGAAAGTTCTGATTCGCCTCTCGATGGGACTGCGACAGATGGGACAGTTGTCAATGACAGCAGCGCACGTGCCACAGCAGGTCAGGTGACCACACGGCACGAACGTGATGACAGCCTCACTGTCCATGCAGATCGTACACGGCTGTCTCTCCACCTGTATTGCAGAAGGACTGTCACTGCTACAATTATCCTGAAGTACAGCCTGTGTCAAAGATTCAACGCTTTCAAACTGCTCGCCAGTCTCTGCTAGTCTTTTCTCTAAAGTTTTCTTGACCAAATTCTCCGGGATGTTAAGGTCAAGCACTTGTTTGACAATGTCATCTTTCATCATATCTGCCAGCTTGTTCTCCAACTGATCAGAAATAACAATAACAACTTTGATAAGAAATATAATGGAGTATTTTGTACATGTTTATGGACATTAGGTTAGTGGTTTCTTGTAAAGGATTGAGGTGTGTATGGGCATCGGATAGACTATTTCCTCTTTAGCGACGGAGGAATACATACAGAGTTTCTTCCAGACATCTCCGAAAGGGAGGGGGTGGAGTCCCTCCGAAGAAAGTCTACTGCCCTCCCCCGGATGAAATTGAATTTATATTGAAAATATATACTTTTAAGAGTGTCCGCCCCCTACCTCCCCGGAAAATTTAGTCCGCCGGCACCCACAAATTTCAAGCGTCCCTACCCCCCCCCCCCCGGAGAAAAAAGTCTAGAAGAAACATTGAGTACATACCATAAAAAGTCTTTTTGTATATGTCTTTTTGAGTGTCTAGTTATGTGTGTCTCGTTATGTGTGTCTCATTAGTCAAGTTTGAGTGTCTCGTTAAGTATCTCGTTATGTGTCTTTTTATATGTGTCGAATTACGTTATGTGTATATTTATGTGCGTCTAGTTATGTGAGTTCTATGTATCCTGTTACGTGTGTCTCGTTATATGTGTGTCGTATGTAAGTCGAAGAAAAAGATAGTTTATCAAATAAACATAAAATAATGGTTCAATTTTTTTTTTAAAAGTCATTTTTAAAATTATAAAAACTATGAATGTTAAAGTTTTCTTTTTGTAAAATAAAAAGAATAATTTTTATTTGACTTTACTCTAATGTGTAAATCAGTTGCCATTATAAAAAAAGAACAGAAATTAAAACTTACTTTCACTAGAGCCAGGGGATTAAACGTCCTTTTCTCCCTGTCTTCATAGACGACTACTGCGTTTTCGTTTTCGTCTACGTCACACACCGTTCCCTTTTTTTTTTATGTACTGCAATAGACGATGTTCAGATGACTTCTGACTACTACGCTTTATCGGGTCGCATCCGAGCATGGACCATCGGTCCAAATTAAGAGGCGGGCCCAACATGCACGATTAAGAAATGCACACTGTATTGTTTAATTTCCAACAGTGTGTCTCAAATAAGAGGATACCTTATTTTACCTGTGCCTCGATTAGAACGCTTCGATTAATATAACCACACCACAAACAGAGTAATAAAATTTACAAACAAGATAGATTTTAATTAGTCAAATTAACCAAACAAAGAAAGATACATACAAATAGATTAACATAATACCTTCTCCACCTCCACACTCCAGCCACCATGAGTCACCTGATACTTTTTTTACTTTCTCGTATATACGAAGTATAGAGAAAGTATTGTAATCGTGCACAAAAATCACTTGAAATTTTAACAATTTTCACCGTATTACACATCAGTCCTTCATCACATCCGAAGTATAGAGGACTTATTTTAATCGGGCAAAAATTATCAATCCAGATTTATCAAAATTAAGAGGTTTTATGCGTAATCCAGTCTGAAAAACTGGGCTTTGCAATTCTGTCCGTATGTCTGTGTGTCTGTCTGTCTGTCTGTCTGTCCGTGTGTAAACACGATAACTTGAGTACCGTTACAGCTAGGTTGATGAAATTTCATATATAAGTATTTTATCAAAATCGTAGATCCGTATCAACTTTTGAGCGATTTCCGATAACCGGAAGTGGTACTTTTTCTACTTTGAATTTTTCAAAAGCCTATAACTTGAGTACTATTTCAGATAGACAAATGAAGTTTCACATGTGAGTAAAAGATCTAATTCTCTACCTTCTGTTAAATTTTGAGTAATTTTCGTTGACCGGAAGTAGTAATTTACGCTACTTCACATTTCTCAAAAAACTAATGTAAATTTTTAAAGTACTAATAATATTGGTGTATATGGTGTTCACTTGGTGTGCAATTCTTTTGTCTACGAGATTTTATTCTATTTTTAAAACTTTAAGTATTTAAAATGGATTAAAAATCGTGTCTATAGCCCGAGTTCCCATCCCCTGTTGTTTTATATATGAATATTCGAGAAAGTTTAGTGGAGATTACTCCCGGTTTATTTATGTATGTCTAGTTATGATATATGTGTATTTTTATGTGTGTCTAGTTATGCAACTTGTATGTATCCTGCTATGTGTGTCTCGTTATATGTGTGTCGTATGTAAGACGAGGAGAAAGATAGTTTATCAACTAAGATCTAGAGCTCTGGGAGCCAAACCGTGTATTGATGAAATCGCACCCTCCTTGGTGCCGCCCATTAAAAATTATAATTTTCTTTTTCGAAAAATCTTCTCGGGAGTAATCTTATTAACTCACCAAAGTTTCATGGCGATCGCACGAAACGATGTCATACCGAAATCGACTTTTTTTACTACAGTATATAGAGAATAATCGAATCGCGCACTGCCGGGGCATCATCTCTGGGATTTGAAATTTACTTTTTCACAGGATCCTCCCCAGAAGTATTTGCAACAGCTTTCCAAAGTTCCATGGCGATGTGATGCTACGTGAAGTAATTCATAAAAGACAAAACACACAAACACACACATATTACTTCATGTATATATATATGTCTATCTCTCTATCAGTCTATCTGTCTATCTCTCTATCAGTCTATCTGTCGATCTGTCTATCTATCTATCTGTCTATCTGTCTATCTGTCTATCTGTCTATCTGTCTATCTGTCTATCTGTCTATCTGTCTATCTGTCTATCTGTCTATCTGTCTATCTGTCTATCTGTCTATCTGTCTATCTGTCTATCTGTCTATCTGTCTATCTGTCTATCTGTCTATCTGTCTATCTGTCTATCTGGCTATCTGTCTATCCTATCTGTCTATCCTATCTGTCAATTCTATCTGTCTATCCTATCAGTCTATCCTATCTGTCTATCCTATCTGTCTATCCTATCTGTCCATCCGTTCCTCCGTCCGTACATCCATCCGTCCGTCCGTCTGTCCGTCTGTCCAGGGCGTCACCTCTGGGAATTTGAATGGTTTTTTTTAGCCTGTCCTTGTACAGTCTTCGCAGGTAGAAGAGACATATGTATATATATATATATATATATATATATATATATATATATATATATATATATATATATATATATATATATATATATATAAATATAAATATATATATATATATATATATATATATATATATATATATATATATATATATTATATTTATATTTATATATTTATATATATACATATGTTTTTATATATTTTAAACTATATATCTCAGCAATATTCTCTAACCTTAGCCATTCCATCATTCCAGCCTCCGTGATCTTGTTGTAAAGCTTTCATGCTCTCAGCGTCCTTGTTACAGATGACTGTGTCACCTACATCAAAACGTTTACATTTGTCTAGAGCATTAGGATTAAAGCGCCATTTCTGCTTATCATCAAAGATGACATGTACATCCCCGGCTCCGTCTTCGTCTATTTCCTGGACTGTTCCTTTCTTACCGATATACTGCAAAACACACAACAATCATATGTGTATATATATATATATATATATATATATATATATATATATATATATATATATATATATATATATATATATATATATATATATATATATATATATATATATATATATATATATATATATATATATATATATATATATATATATATTAAAAGTGTTTTAATAAATAAGTCAAATTTTTTTATTATTATTTAATTGATTATATCACCAATTTTTTAGAAAGCTGTTTTAATTATTGGAGTGTATTAAAAATGTTTTCTAACCTTCGCCATTCCATCATTCCAGCCTCCGTGACCTTGTTGTAAAACTATCAGTCTCTTAGCATCCTTGTTACAGATGACTGTGTCACCTACATCAAGACGTTTACATTTATCTAGAGCATCAGGATTATAGAACTATTTCCGCATGTCATCAAAAACAACACGAACATCTCCGTTTTTGTCTATTTCCAAGACTGTTCCCTTCTTGTGAATATACTGCAAAACACACACACACACTTATATATATATATATATATATATATATATATATATATATATATATATATATATATATATATATATATATATATATATATATATATATATATATATATATATATATATATATATATATATATATATATGATATTTTTTGAGGTGGTAGGAGAATGCCTAGAGGTGTCACAAAAAACTCGCTATGTCCAGGAAAAATCTGGAAATGGGTTTAAACTGACCAGTCGTATTTCCCAATATAATCTTTGTATTTTATGGGAAAAACAGTGTGAAATTTCAACAAAGATTTCAGGGTACTTACCCTCTGTACATCAGGCTAATATTTGGCGAGTTTTTTGTGACACCCTTATGAGTTCTCCTACCACCTCAAAAAATATCAATGGGGGTCTTCTAGCAAAAGTTTTTTTTCGTAATATAGCCCACATAAGGCACCGGTCAGTTGAGTCAGTTTTGAACCACTCTACTTCAACTTGTCGGCCAACCGGCTCTCGTGTTCTATCACCCCAAGACAGACTCATGTCATGAATGTTTGTTGCAGAAACCTTCTCGGAAGTATTATCATCAAAGTTTTATTGCACTCAGATAAACAATGTCGAATTGCATCCGAGATTAATTTTTTCAACTTCCCAATGTTTCATGGAGATATAATAAAAAGTATATTAATGCATATAAGACAAACACACACACACACACACATATATATATTTATATATATATATATATATATATATATATATATATATATATATATATATATATATATATATATAATACTAGCGTACCCGTCCCCGCGCGTTGCCGCGGGGATAGAAAAAAGTCTGACGAAATATATTAGAAGGATTTCACCAATGCATTATCAATCATATGTTCTTAGACGCATCACCTTGTTTTCTAAAACTGTGTTATTTAAATGTAAACAATGCCTGCGCTTGGATAATAATTATCGGGACACGGGTTTTCCTACAATACCGCATGAAAACCTTGAGTGTACATTAATCACTCACCGAAATAATGAGGTAGATCACACTTCGGTGACCACCCATGTGTCAGGGACGTAGAGGGGCGCTCTCAGGAGCCCCCCACCCCCCGATTACACTACCGCATAGGCGCAGCGTACGCCCCTGGCTCCTTAAAATTAACATGCGCCATCGTGCTCATAGGATACCCAGCGTGCCAAATAGCATCCTGTGAACAATGATGCAGATTTCGTCATTCGCTAAAGTAACACAAATGAACAGGATTTTTTTCTCTAACACGTAAAAAATTATTTGATGTGTTTTAAACATTAGTGTGACTGATGCAATATGGTCTATTATTAGATGTTCGATCTCAGTTTCTGATTGGATCGTCTAATAATAGATGCTTATTGCATCATTCGCAAAGTGACCAAACTCTACAGAAGGTTCCTAATATTCAAAAATTTATTTTTTCATCTTTCGCAAGGTGACGAAACTGTACAGAAGGATTTCCTTGCGTTACAAAGTTATTTTTAGAAGCCTGTTGTAGTTTTACCGCTTAATATAGTAGTACCCGTTACTCGCTATGCAGGACGCTCGATTAACGGATGCCAAGTGCCAACATATTTGCTCTAAAACTTTGGGCGCCAAACCGTGTTTTAACGAAAATTGTACCCTATATGGCGCCGCCCATAAGAAACTTTAGTTTTCCTTTTCGCAGAAATATTCTCGGGAGTATTCTCATCTACTCCTTAAAGTTTCATGGCACTCGGATGAATAGCATCCGAGTTTCATTTTTTATATACCGTGTATATAGAAAAAAAATCGCTCCCCCCGGGGGCACCGCCCTTGCAATGTTATTTTTTTTTTGCAGAACCCATACCACTGAGTGATCTAATCATCTCCCCAAAGTTTCATGGTACACTGATGAACGGTGTGAAACGGAAATAGACTTTTATTTTTATAAACCGTATATAGAGAAAAAACAAATCGCGCCCTGCCGGGGCGCGTCCCATACGAATTTGAAATAGTTTTAGCGCAGAAACCTCCCCAGGAATATTCTCAACATCTTTCTAAAATTGCATGGCGATCGTGTGAACGGTGTCACGGCAATTAACTTTTTTTTTTATATACGGTATATAGAGAAAAATCGCACCCTCCCGTAGCGCCCCCCTTGTGAAATTGATTTTTTTTTACAGAACCCTTCCTTAAAGTGTTCTAATGAACTCAACAAAGTTTGATGGTGATCAAATGAATGGTGTCAAACCAAAATCGACTTTTAATTTCATATACCGTACATAGAGAAAAACAAATCGCGCCCTGACGGGGCGCCACCCCCTTCAAATTTGAATATTTGTTGTTTTTTTTGCAGAAACCTCCCCATGAATATTCTCAACAACTGCGCAAAGTTTCACGGCGATGTGATGAGAGGTGTAGTAATGCTTAAAGGACAAACAGACAAACATAAAGACACACACACAAACATACATTGCTTTATATATATATATATATATATATATATATATATATATATATATATATATATATATATATATATATATATATATATATATATATATATATATATATATATATATATCGCAATGTATGTCTGTGTGCGTGTTTACTTTTCCCCAAAATAAGTCAGATACCCATCAAAATTGGGTTTATTAAGAGACGTGTGGTATCGGTTATACATTTAATTGGTAATTTGTAGTAAACAGTTAACAATACAATCGTTTCATTTGTATACAATTTTCCCATATATTGTTACAAAATCCTTATAAACTGGCATTCAAAAACTAAAAGTAAAACAAGACTATTCATTTTAGCCTGTCTTTGGACTTGCTTTGAAGGTATACTCTCTCTCTCTCTCTCTCTCTCTCTCTCTCTCTCTCTCTCTCTCTATATATATATATATATATATATATATATATATATGAAGAGTTTATTTTCAAAATGCAATATATCCAAAATTTTGGTTTTGAGAAAATCGCACTTTTCTCCTGCACAAAGCCATTGTACAATATGCTAAAACTGTTTTTCAAAAATAGAAATAAAATAAAAATTTTGCGCCGTGAAGATTAAAATTTAGTTTTCCTAATCGTAACTGAGTAGCTTTACAATATGGGCACGTCATCTCATTTTTTTCAAAAATGGCGCTTATCGCGTTTTGAAAATAAACTCTTCATATATATATATATATATATATATATATATATATATATATATATATATATATATATATATATATATATATATATATATATATATATATATATATATATATATATATATATATATATATATATATATATATATTTATATATATATATATATATATATATATATATATATATATATATATATATATATATACACTTTTTTATACTAAAAATCTATGCAATTTTTTAGAAACTGTTTTACTTATCGGACTGTATTAAAATATAATAAATTTTAACCTTAGCCATTCCATCATTCCAGCCTCCGTGACCTTGTTGTAAAGCTTTCATGCTCTCAGCGTCCTTGTTACAGATGACTGTGTCACCTACATCAAAACGTTTACATTTGTCTAGAGCATTAGGATTAAATCGCCATTTCTGCTTATCATCAAAGATGACATGTACATCCCCGGCTCCGTCTACGTCTATTTCCTGGACTGTTCCTTTCTTACTGATATACTGCAAAACACACACACACACACACACACACACACACATATATATATATATATATATATATATATATATATAAGTTATGGTCAAAGCCTGAAGTCGGCCAATGCGCGGATTGGCCAATATCGTCTCTCATAGACCGGTCAAAGTCCGAAACTTTGCTTGATTTCGGCATTTGGCCGGCTAGTTCGTGGACTGGCCATGGTGGACCGGACAAAGTCTGAATTAGAAGATCATCTGGCTAGGGTCTACCGGCCGAAGTCCGAATTAGAAGATCAAGAGCAGATTTTTTTTTATACCGTAAGGATCATAAAATTAAGTCTTTATTGATGATTCCTTAAAGTAAATTACAGAAACATTCAAATATTTTATTGCACTATAGTCTCAATGAATTAATAGTATCAGTTGTTACAACAAGTTGAACTATTATGGCATTTAGAATTACATAGTAGATTGTTATTTTTTATAGTTGCAGCGATTTTTAGTGCACTTGGTTGTGCAATTGCAGCAATTGTAGAATTGGCCACCGGTCAGTGATTTCTAAGATGCGATGGTTCGAAGTGATTTTCCTCGTGCCAACTGACGACAATAAGAGGAGGCTGTCACTTAAAGTTGTAGCCCATATATGGAAACTAACATGGATTTACATACTTTTTTCTTTTGACAGCCATTTGCAATGTCATTCTCATGGTCTGACTGCCCTTTTGGTCCATGTCGCAATGCATATAGAATAATATACCAACAAGAGAGCCAAACATTACGTTACTCATAATGAAACCGCACCCAGAATAATGAAAACGCGATCACAACTTAGTTTAGATAGAACATTGGCCAGGACATCCAAGTCAGCGTACTTTGGCTGGCCAATGTACAAAGTACGCTGTCAAGTTTAAGCACTTCGGACTTTGGCCAGTTCGTCCCAGCGAAAGCGCGCATCGGCCGGCCAATGTACCAAATAAGCTCTTAGTGCTAAGTTCTTCGGGCTTTGGCCAAGAGAGCCGTCAAATGTGCGCAATGACCGGCCAATGCGGGCTTCAGCCGCACTTCGGGCTTTGACCGTAACATATATATATATATATATATATATATATATATATATATATATATTTATATATATATATATATATATATATATATATATATATATATATATATATATATATATATATATATATATATATATATATATAAAATTTATTTATTTATTTATTTATTTATTTATTT